CTCCTGAGATCAAGCAATTCCTCTTAGGTTCCCATTAGGCAACCAGGACTACAAGCATACACCACAGTGATTGGTTACTATCCCGTTGCTTGCTTGAGCAGCTACAGATTATTGTAGCCAATAGGGTTCCTGGAATCAATTACCTGAAGATAGTGAGGGGCAGCTGTAGTGGAACACCATCTAAATGGATAAGGAGAGGACCACCTACTAGCCTACTCATTGGCAATAACAGCTGAACCCAGAGAGGATTGAGTTGTCTATAGCAGGTAAAAGTGCAAGAGAAAGTTCAAGAGACGAGGTATGGGAGTAACATAGCACAGCTGAATTCTCAAAATTCTTACTTCCAAACTTATTTCTAGAGGAAAGGTTAATAATTAAGAGAAAGTAATGGTGGGGAAATCATAAGCAATGAGAAACAAAGGAAATGCTAAGGTCTAAGCCTGCATTGTCTACACAAATGGACTCTTGTCACTCCAAATATGGCTAATCAGAATTGTGATGTGCTGTAATGCACGAAAGCATTCCAAAGAGGTTTGTAAAAAAAAGGATAAAATATATCAGTAACAATTTTATAGTGAGGTCATGCTAAAATGATGCTTTATATATGGAATTAAATAGTTAATACTAACAATGTTTCTTTAAACATTTTAAGATTTGATCACCAAAATTTTAATTTGTATGTGTTGATAGCATTATGTTTCTATTACACTATACTCCATATTAATGAAGCTTGTAATGTCTATTAAATATTTCAAGTGAAAAAGTCGGTTAGGCAGCTGCATATACATGACTGGAAAGCAAGGGAATATTAGAAGTGGCTAAGCAATACTGAGATTGGCCATATTTTTTAAATATTTAAAGACCTGAGACATATTAGTCTTTAAATATATGTGGGAGCTGAGGACATCTCCAAACACTTGTTTACTCTCCACACCCGAGTGTAAACAAAAATATCTAAATACTAAGAAAAAAAGGATCCAGGAGAGTCAATAGTGTCAAATGCTCCCAAAGGTTAAGCCCAAAAGGTTAAGTCCACAAAGTTACCATTGCACATGCAGTTAGTGTTAGTATTTGGTACTTTTAAAAGGAGGGAATGTGGTAAGGGCCAACAATTAGGAGAAGAGTTTGTAGTCAAGAGAGGCTAAACAGATTTTGTTATGCTGTTTAAGACATTAGGTAAGGCTCTACTGCCATGCAGACAGAAAACTCAGTAGACAAAGTACAAGTATGCAAGCATGTAGTAAGGTAACAGACATCTCTGATGGCTCACGGCAGGAAGAAATCTTGTCTACCACCTAAAGTATTACTTTCTCTAAATCCAAGGTATGAGGAGATATTAAATGGCCAAGGTCATTGATTGACTGTGTGTGTATGTGTGTGTATGTGTGTGTGTGTGTATGTGGTGTATTGCTGGTGGTTAAAACCAATGATATACATACATATTATAGGCACACACACACACACACACACACACACACACGGTTGTCTCTAAAGCTCTTGGCTTGAAGCTACAAAAGTTTTATACACAGGGAATTCACTAATCCTTTTAGTCTATAGAACAAAAGTACAAATATGTGTCCTGACCTATGTTTGCAATTTCTATGAGAAGTCTTACACCTAACCTGAATAAGCCTCAAGAGAAAGCTTGTATATTAAAGGTTTTCCTACCCTTTGCTACCACAGCTATCTTCATGACTACTTTTGGGGCCTGAAAGTGTGTGTGTGTGTGTGTGTGTGTGTGTGTGTGTGTGTGTGTGTGTGTGTGTGTGTGTGTGTGTGTGTGTGTGTGTGCATGTTTTTATAGTAGCTTAGGAAGGACCAGGAGACTAGACCCTTACAAGCCCTGGAGGCAGACTTAAGGAATGAGGGTATCTGAAACTTTTATTCACAAGTGGCATTGTATTAGGACATAGTGGACACTTCTTGTTCCTGTCAAATGTCATTTTTTATTTTTTCATTTATTTTACATAATGACCAGTTTCCTCTCCCTTGTCTCTGCCCTTCTACCCCACCTCACATCTAACCCCCATCTACTTCTGTTTCCATTCAAAAGGAGGCAGGCCTCCCATGGGCATCAACAAAGCATGGTACACCAGGTTGGGGCAGGACCAAGCTACTCCCATCAAGGCTAGACTAGGCAACTCAGCATGGGAAATAAGTTCTCCAAAGCCATCTCAAGCACCAGGGATAGGTCCTGATCCCACCTCTAGGAGTCCCACAAACAGACCTAGCTATACAACTGTCGCACACATGCAAAGGGCCTAGGTCAGTCCCATACCAGCTCCCTAGCTATCGGTTCAGTCAGTGAGCTCTCAGGAGCACAGGTCAGCTGTCTCTGTGTGTTCCTCCATCAAAATATCAGATGTTAAGGATCATTAATAGGGCTTCTTAAGAATTATTTTCAGTTAATTTGGATATTCTCTCTACCTTTCAGATAGTTCAGACAGGGTTTGTTTTTCTTGTTTTCTAGAATAATCAACTGTTTCATTTATTCTTTGTATTGTTTTGTTTCTTGATTTCAGTCCTCAATTTGATTATTTCCTGCCGTGTACTCCTGGGTGAGTTTGCTTCTTTTTGTTCTAGAGCTTTCAGGTGTTCTGTTAATTCCCTGGTGTGGGGTTGCAATTGTGGGATTCTCCTACCTTCTTTACGTAGGCATTGAGTGCTATGAACTTTCTTCTTAGCACTGTGGTTGGGCAGTACATGAGGCCACTGACAGTGGGACCAAGATTTAACTCTAATGCATAAACTGACTTAGTGGAGCCCATTTCATATGGAGAGAATCTTGCTCGGCCTAGGCACGGAGGAGGGGGAGCACAGGATCCTGCCTCAGTGACACAGATGATGGGACAGACTTAGTTGACTTCCTAGGGGCCTTACCCCCTCTCTAAGGAGCAGATATAAGGTGGGAGCAGCAAGAGAAGGAGGGAAGGGAAATTGGAATATGATAGACAGACAGATAGATCGATAGATAAGAGATAGAAAAAATAATACACTTTAATCCCAGCACTCATGAAGCAGAGACAGGGGGCACTCTGAGAGTTCAAGGCCAGCCTGGTCTACAGAGAGAGAGTTCCAGGAGAGGTCCCAAAAGCTACAGACAAAACCTGTCTTGAAAAAGCGGAAAAAAACCTCCCAACCAGGTGGTAGTGTCTCATGCTTTAATTCAAGCACTCAAGAGGCAGAGGCAAGTGAATCTCTGAGTTGGAGGCCAGACTAGTCTACAGAACAAGGTCCAGGACAGCCAAGGCTACACAGAGAAACCCTGGCTTGAAAAAAACAAAAAAATTCACTTTTCAAAAATATGGTCAGTACTAAAGGTCTATGCTTGTTTTGGTTATACGCCAGAAAAAAAGAGGAAAATCAGAGAGAGTATTTTCCTGGCCTCATCTACATTTTTAACTTTCTTATGCTTCCACCTTAAGTTTTTGAACTGCTAATTTCTGTTATAGTTGTTATATGGTCAAAGTGAAAAAATGTACACTGAAGACCATAACATCTCATTTAGGAAACACACTATTGATGCATTTCTTTCTAAATGTCTGCCTCTCATATGTACAAATTTTTCACAATGGACTTTTCATCAACACATTCAATTATTTTTATTATTTTTAAATTTAAATTTAAATTAGAAACAAGGTTGCTTCACATGTCAATTCCAGGTCCCTCTCTGTTCCCCCCTCCTCCCGTGCCCTCCCCCCAGCCCCCCAATATGCCCTCATTTCCCCAGGGAGGGTGAGGCCCTCCATGGGGGTGTCCATAGTCTGTCATTTCATCCAGGGCAGGGCCTAGACCCTCCCCCAAGAGTTCAGGATGAGAGTGCATCTCTCATTGTTGGATGGGAGTCCAAAGTCCGTGTGTATACTTGGGATGAGTACTGATCTGCTGCCCAAGGCTCAATAGATTACCTAGGCCTCCTCACTGACACTCCCATTCAGGGGGTCTTGATCGGTCCCATGCTGGATTCCCAGGCTGATGCCTGGGATTCAAGAGTTAACCTTTGTCAGGTCAGCTGTTTCTGGGGGTTAAACCAGCCCAGTCTTAATCCCTTTGGTCATCAGTCCTCCCTCTCTGTTTCTGGCTTTCTTGAGTTCAGCTCAGTACTTAACCAAGGGAGTCTGCCTCTTCTTCCATCAGCCACTAAATGAAGTTTCTGTTTCCCAGACTCTCTGGCCATGGGATTGTAGGCTGGCACTCCCCAGATCTATGTCTAAAATCCATACATGAGTACATGCCCACATTCAATTATTTGATGAAAACCATGCCACCTGTGCCCTTTTGGTCATTAACCTTACATTGCCCACACATGACCAAGTCTCATCCCAGACCTCAGAAGGCCCACCTTCTTTCCCTCTCCCTATGCACTTCCAACAATACTATTATCATATAAAGATCCCATAAATAATATACACGCTTCTATTATAAATCTGGATCCTGTCTCCTCAGGCCCTGGTCTCCTCAGGCCCTGGTCTCCTCAGGCCCTGGTCTCCTCAGGCCCTGGTCTCCTCAGGCCCTGGTCTCCTCAGGCCCTGGTCTCCTCAGGCCCTGGTCTCCTCAGGCCCTGGTCTCCTCAGGCCCTGGTCTCCTCAGGCCCTGGTCTCCTCAGGCCCTGGTCTCCTCAGGCCCTGGTCTCCTCAGGCCCTGGTCTCCTCAGGCCCTGGTCTCCTCAGGCCCTGGTCTCCTCAGGCCCTGGTCTCTAGCTATTTATTCCTCAGTCTTCTTTGCAGCTTCCCTTCCCACTTCTCCCTCCCCACCTGAGATCACACCACCCTGCCCTTCTGACTCTTCAGAGGGAGGCTCTTTTCCTTTTCCAAGTGACAAATCACCTGTGCTAAGAAGCCAGCCAAGTGCCCTTAAGTAGTAATTTGTTGGGCAGAGTTCCATCTCAGTTCTAAGTCAGTTTTATCCCTCATTCCTTCCAAAGAGTCAGCTAGCATAATAATGATGCTCCTTGATCCTCCAAATATGAAATCCTAAAATTGGACCACGATAGACTAATGTTTTAAAATAAAACTTAACACTTTTATTTAAATGCTCAGTAACATGAAATACAAATTGACAAAACTTTCGGAGACAAAAAAAAAAGCTCAACAACCAGGCTGTTTAAAGGAGCATGGAATGGAGTCAAAGGTTTTATAAGTGCTGGATAGCTAGGACCTGGGCCCTTCAAAACTGGTCCGGATTGTGGTGAATAGGGAGACAGCCTAGAACCCTCACACAGTAGATAGGTGCTGACTCATTTTGTGGGCCTGGGGGTTACAAAGAGTCACAGCCCCAATGGAGTAGGAGAGTGATGGCTTACTCTATGTCCTCCCTAGGAGGGGAATCCCCTACTTCTTCCTCTGACTCTCCAGATTCAGGAGAGTCCAGGTTATCCAGGTCAGGTATCAAGGCACGCCAACAGGCATTGGGGCTAGTATCAGAAGCACAGCTATCTGGAGAGGAGCTTCTGTCATGTGACTCAATTGAGGAAGGGGAGAGACTTGGAACATAGGGTGAACCGGGGGAGGAAGAGCGGAAACCTTCATTACACTGTCCAAGGGAAGGATAGCGCCTACCAGGAGGGGAAGGGGAAGAGGCCCGCATACGGACCGGGCGGCTTGCAGGATAGCTCCTTGTTAATTTTAAAGTTATCTTTGGAAGTGCAGTCCCAGAGGAGGAAAGGTTTTCTTGAGTCTGGCTGCTATGGCCAGGGTCACTCTCCACCCTTCTTGCACGGCTTCGGTGGCGGTCAGAGCCAGGAATGGACGAACGGTGACGTGTGCGTTGTGTTGCAGCGCTGCTTTTATCAGGACAGCAGCCTGCAGTCGTGCTGTGAACGACAGGATCCTGTAGCGTGTGGGAGGTACTAGGGCAAGCGTCAGGGCTAACCTCCAAAGCACTGCTGTGACGACCAGAGGCAGTGGCACCGGGGCGAAGAACCAGGCCTCCTTCAGGATCAAGGCTGAACTCAGATTCTCTGTGACAATGACCAAGATCAGGAACCTGCAGAGTGCCCTGTTGTTGGAGATCCTGGCCAGCAGGAGTGGTGCAGCTGCTGCCATGTAGGCTGAACTCAGGAGCACTACTGTGAAGACCAGAGACAGGCGGAACAACTTGGCTGCCAGGCACAGAAGCCGAGGAAGACACAGGATGGGACATGGTGCTAGTGCTAAGGGAAGGTCCCAAGAATTTCTGTCTCTCCACTGAAGGTTCTGAACGGCGAGATCTCAGATTATATGAAGGCCTAGTTGTAGAAGGTGACTCTGTAGCTTCCAGAAGCTGAGGCCCACCTGGACATTTTGCAGTTAGGTGTTGCTTGGGCTGCTTCCTGCTTCCACTACTTTCCATCTGAGCCGGGTTCCCACTGGACGAGGTGTCGCCTTTCGATGGTTGGCCCACTTCTCCCTGGCTCCTTGTCCAGGGCCTAACACGTCCAAGTTCTGTGTTTGGGGTGCCAGGGCCACAGCTACCCTGGAGGTTAGAAGGCTGCTTCTCAGGCACACAAAATGTCCGCAGATTTTCACCAGCCCCAGAGATGGCACCAGAAGTCACCAATTTGCCTCGGAGTTCTGGAGAGCGTTGTCTATCACAGAGGCACCACTACAAGCAAAGGGATCTTTACGGTGGGACTCAGAGGTATTACGAGTCTCTATACACCCTAACACGACACCCAGGGGATGTTTCTGCTCCTTCTGGTGCTTCTGCTCCTTCTCTGGGGGTAAACAGGTGGCCAGATCGGCTTACCAGCTTCTTGATTGCTAGGAAAAACAGCTTCTCTAGCCGCCTTCTTCACTCACTCAGCTGGCTTCTGACAAGCCCACTAGGATACTGGGTAGAGATAAAGTGCACGCACGAGAGTGGGTGGAGCTGGTCCAATTCTAGTCTTTGATTGGCCAGCTGTAGCTACTAAATTCAACTTTCGGGTTTCCCCTCTGAACCTCCCTCCACCTGGCAGCAACTCCTGCTGTGCTGGAGGCCAGGGAAGCTTCTAGTGGTTTCTGGTGTGCTCTCTACCTCTTCCCCATCCCCCATCCTACTTTCCTGGGTCAAAAGTCTAAATTCAGAAGCCTTCCACCCTGGCCTGACAATGTTTGGGCTGGGAACATCTACATGAACTTTATGCAACACCCCAAACGAGTTTGCTCATCACTCCATGAATTGGTCTTGGGATTCATTTAGTTAATGGTTTACTACATACTGACCAATAAGCTCTATCTCCGAGGTCATGCATAACCCTACTGCTGTCCTTTAAGCAACCAGGTGACCCAACTAGGGGTCTAGTAGGTTTTAAGTTTTCTGAGGGGCCTAAGGATTTCAAAGGGGATAATGAAGTCCACATTGTCTTGAATTTGAAAATGGTTAGCAAGGAATGTCAGGTCCCAAACACCAGATTGGACTTCACAGTTTGTCAGTAAGACACTTCACCCTGTCTTGCTCTGAGGCACAGGCCAGGCTGCCTAAGATTCAGCTGATGAGTTAATTGACGGGCTCCTCTACTACTTTTTTTCTACTTTACTGCCGGCACAGACCTTTTAAGTTTAACATTCATGTACACTTTTAATTATTACAAAAGGGCTCTTATTTCTGGTATCCCCAAACAGAAAAGCAAATGTAGTAAAACCAACAACTAGGCTGGGCAGTGGTAGCACTTGGAAGGCAGAGACAAAAGGATTTCTGAGAGTTCAAGGCCAGCCTGGTCTACAGAGCTAGTTCCGGGAAAGCCAGGGCTACAAAAGAAACCCTGTTTAAAAAAAACAAACAGCAACTAAATTTTCTCATGCCTACAGTCAAATACTGGGAAAGTTAAATTAAACATATTTCTTAGTTTTAGGAAAATAGAATTATTTATGTGGATCTCCATGAATTCGAGGCCAGCCTGGTCTACATAGTGGGTGTGGAGAGGCTCCAAAGCTACACAGAGAAACCCTGTCTCGAAAAAAACAAATAATAAATAAATAAATAAGATTGCTCATGTACTCAAATGTGTCTTTATTATGGATCACTTCTCAGAGGAAAATATTCTTGGTGTAAGCCTCTGCACATTTATAATTTTAGCAGAAGCAAATGGGACACTTAACAGAATGGATGAGCAACTGGACTGGAACACAAAAATAGAATAGCATGGTATTTGGTGTGTTAAATAAGGTGGAATGGCAAATGGATCTGAAATAGAACATAAAATGCAATGAAATGGAAACTAAGTGCAAAATAGAATGAAATAGGGAATGAAACACATACTTGAATAGTATGATAAGGACAACTGAAGAGGTCAAAAATTGGATAGAATATAAAGAGCAAAAACAGAATGAAACAGAAAATACCTAATACATGAAAGAATATATAGCATATGAAAGAAGTGTAGTGACAAATAAAATAGTGAGAAATCAAATTAGGAAAGATTTTAGGATGGAACCAAATGTGCAAAGTCCTGGGATCATTTAGTACAGATTTTAAAATAGCAAACAGAGATATTCTCATATATGTGAAAGTAAGTGTATGTGTGTGTCTGTGGGGGGGCACACCTGTGCGCACACACTCACGCTTCCTTGGTGCTTGGTTGTTATGGAGTAGCACTACTATACAGGGACTAGGAGGTGTGCCCTTGTGGGAAGAAGTGTGTCACCGGGTATGTGGGTGTAGGCTTTGAGGTTTTAGAAGCCCAAGCCAGTCCCAGTGGCCCTCTCTTTCTGCTGTCTGGGGATCTGGATATAAAACTGTCAGCAACTCCAGCATCATGTCTGTCTGCATGCCACCATGCTTCTTGCCATTCTGATAATGGACCTCTAAAGCTGTAAGCAAACCCTAATTAAATGTTTTCCTTTATAAAAGTTTCTGTGGTTATGGTGTCTCTTCACAACAATAGAACACTAACTAATACATATATTTTTTCAAGTATTTGGAACAAGATTTCCCAACTTTAAAAGAAATACAATAAAGTATTTGTAAAAATGTAAAGAATGCACATATGAAATATTGCAATTAATAAATTAATTTAACATAGTCACTAGCTACAAAGTCAATATTATAAAGCTGAATTATATTTCTTTATGCTAACATTGGAAATTATGAAAGGAAATTTTGAAATGCCATTTCCTGTAATGTGAGAAAGTATCAAGGACCTATGACTGAACAATAAAAACTAACATGGTGATTTCTGAAAGAAATTGAAGAAAACCACTATTAATTAGAGGCAGACCATGGTTAATGGAGGCTTGGAACAGTATTTTCAAAGCTTTTCTGTTTATGGCCTCTGCTCAGGCCCCAAAATTTTTTAGAGTCCCAGGTATGAAGGTATATAAAAATAGGTATACCAATAAAACAATTGCTAATAATAAATCATAAAGAAATCTAATTTTTAAATAGTTCTCTAGTATACATGTAGTTTTGTCATCTAATAAAGATGATTACAAACTTTCATACTAATGGGATGGGTGGCCCTATTTATTTTGAAAAAGAATTAAATCTTGGCTGGATATTTGGTATTTCAGGATACAGAGCATATTCAAAGGTTTTCAGAGTTTATCAATGTGTTATAATTGTCAATGCCTAAAATGCTTCTTTATATAAAATGTAGCATAAATATATAATAATACAAAATTTTAGGATAATATTTGGAGCCATTTCAGAAATTATTAGAAATTGTCACAATTCCAAGCAAATATTCATTATACATTTTATAAAACTCAGGACAGCAACTCAATAGGTAATTTATAAAATCAAACATTCTAACTCTACACAATCCAAATATAAGCTAACATGAGATAAACTGAAAAATAATTATAAAAATATTAAATGTTCAACTTTTAAAATTATTAAACAATAATGTTTCTGTAAGAGAAGAAATCCCTGTATATATTGTTAAATCACTGCAACCCATAACAAACAACAGCCTTTGATTTGAGTGTTCCAGGTACCAGTGATGCCACTGTGTAATGCAAAGTAAACATCAGCTATGTTCAGAACCAAGTTTAAAATGTAGTTGGGTGATGCTACACAGGTGAGCTCTGCCTAAATGAAAACCTCAGACACACTATGCATTAGATGTTGAATTAACCTTTTTTATTATGTGCTACTCTATACTGCTAGGGTTTTTCCAGCAATATAGGGCTGTCTGCCACTCACAGTTTAACTAGCTGATGACAAGAAAAAACGATATTACAAAATTAAAAGAAAAATTCTCACAAGTATTATATACAAGCTCAACTGAATCACACACAATCAAAACCTCAAGAGATTATTTGTCAGCAGAAATTGAGAAAGTGATTCTGAAATACACATGTTTTTAAAAAACTGAAGATCAGCCGAAGACATCCAGAATAAGCAATTTGAAAGACTTTTACTGTAATTTGTGTATACAGTTTATTTTTACAGGAACAAAGATAAGTATATCTTTATTCAGATAGAAGCATAGAAATAGACAAACCAAATAATAACAAAGAAAAAAAACAGACCTCACAAAGAAGACACATCTAGGCATCAACCCACAGCAAACCTAGCCTAGCAGTACCATACCTAGGAGGGAACAGGAGACAAGAATGTAAGTAAGCAGAGAAGGACTAATTGGTCCTCAAGCCATAGAGAAAACATAAATGTGTCCTCTAACCAAGCTATACACAAAAATAAATCCCACAAGATAAAGCCTACATATGAAACACTATATAGGACACAAAATCATTAACGATTAAGAAAAGCATTAGCCGGGCGTTGATGGTGCACGTCTTTAATCCCAGCACTCAGGAGGCAGAGACAGGCAGATCTCTGTGAGTTCAAAGCCAGTCTGATCTATAGATCGAGCTCCAGGATAGGCTCCAAAGCTACAGAGAAACCCTGTCTCGAGAAGAAAAAAAAGAAAGAAAGAAAAGAAAAGCATTGACCAAGCACACGCAATAAACAAAAACATTGAGAACAATGGAATTAAATATTAGCACAAGAATTCCAACAGATACTTCACAAGCTATGATGTTCAATAGGCTTATAAATAAATTCTGCTCAAAATTTTGCTAAAAAATAAAATCACAGTGAGATAGCAGGAAGCATCTCTAAGGAAAATCCAAAATGACTACCATCCACAAGAGTGAAAGAGGGTATAGAGGAATTAAAACATTGAGGATGTAAGCTGGCACCTCTACTTTCAAAAATTGTTTGGCAGTATGTATTTAAGCAGAGCTTATGAATTTTCTATAACCCAGTAATCCCATGTGTATTTGCTCTACTCTTACATAACAACCCCAAATGTAGTAACTTCATACAGTGGCCATTTATTAGTTCAGAGTTCTATAGGTTCAAAGACCCATATTGGACATGATGGGTTCTTTTTTCAGTGACAGGGTGGAATCAGTCACTCAAGCTTCACTTCTATGAGAAAGAACACAATTCTAAATTCACTGAATTTGGGGATAGAATTTGGATTCAGTTGTATATCCTAGAGTGCTCATGCAATTCCTTTCTACAATCCCCCTCTCTCCACATTCCTTCCTATGCCTACAATGTGTCAAGATGAGCACAGTCCAATTTAAAACCTCACCTTCTTAGGTCTGGTCTACTCAGAATAACCTCCTTAAATAAGTGACCACTCATTGGAACCTTGAAATATTGGCAAAATCTCTTTTCTCAAATATCAAACATAATTGTAGGAGCAATTTCTCATCATATTCGCAGGCTCTGCTCATTTGACAAGAGAGGATGATATAGTATCCTCAGGAACCTCTTAGAATTCTCCCTACCAGCCTGTCTTCTGGGTACTAGGAGCCAGGCTGCTTCACATATAAAAGCTGTTTGCCCCATCCAATAGCCTACAAATTTTCATCATATTACACTATCACCTCTATTG